ATTCCTAATTTTTTGGTCTTAAGAATTATAAATGATGGCTCCTTAGCGATCCAAAGCAAAACTGAGTTTCCCATCTGGGAGGGCAGCAGCTACTGCAGTCAGACAGGCAGCGAGCACGTCTTGACCTTTTCTGCCCACCTCCCTGACACCTCACCCATCTTCTCCAATGACAGCAGTGCTGTTCTAAAACCTTGACCTGTCTTTGGGGGTCTACTTCACATCTAATCCATCAAGCAGTTCTGCTAGGTTTACTGTACGAACGTACCCCAGATTTGGTGAGAGCTCACCGCCAACATGATCCATCCTCTTAGCTGACCTGCAGTATCTCTGGCCAGGGTGTCCATCCTCCCACCCCATTACCAATGCACAACAAAGCAAGTCGACTCTTAGAAGCCGCAGCCGCTGCATCTCACGGCCTGCTTCGACTCCCGTGGCTCTCTATTTTACTTTGGATAAGAGTGAAAATCCTTAGAGCGTTGAAGATATGACTTCACTTTCTAACTCTTCTCCATTGCTGTTCCTATAGTATCCCGAGCAAGCAATTCTCTTAGGCTCCATGTACTGATGGTTCCCTTGGCCTGATACATTCTTCCCCAGTCTCCAAATAGCTAACTGCCTTTCCTTTCACATTCATTGTTCAAATACCACTTGACCACCTTATTTAAAATTGTAAACCCTGAGCTGGTGAAATAGCTCAGCACGTAAAGACACTTGCTGACAAGCTTGACAACCTGAATTAAATCCTTGAAACCCACATGGGGTAAGGCGTAAACCTCCAAAATTTCCCCTTTGATTTCAACATGTGTACTCTGGTATGCGTGCCCCATCCGCATGTGCATGCGTACACCCCATCACACACATGCTTAGGCATGCGAGTACACGCGTGCATACACACACACACACACACACACAGAGGAACATAAAACAAAATAAAATTGCGAACTGCTCACCTAAATTCACAGCCACAACTTGTACTAATTTAGAAATCATATAATAGAAAATGAAATGTATTTATCAGTTTGCATTATCTATCTCCTTCTTTTAGAACAGACACTTGAGAGTGGTACAGATTAGGCTGTTTGGTTCATTATTTTCCCATTCATAGTAGTATTATAGAATATGTAGTAGCATGCAATAAACTCATTCTGATGAGTTTAGACTTAATTCAGGGGCAAAAGTTTGACTTGTGCTGTAAAAACTACCTTAGCTGTGGTGTAAAAAGGGGATTAGAGAGGAAAGATGCGTGTTGAGGAGCCAATTAGGTTGCTCTGCAGAAGGAAGGCAGGGGAAGCCACTGTCGGTCTGTATCTGTATGAAATCATCCACTACACCATGTGGGATGTAGCAATGTGCTGGGTACATATCTCCATATACCACAGATTCAGTCAACACCGGTACATGCACGCATACCTCACAGTCCTGCAAAATCTGCCAACCGAATTTGCTTCAAGATACTTAAATAGGATGCCACCACAACTAAGAGTAAGTGTTTCTCAAAGGAGTCTACAAAGGAAGGAAATACTCAGACACATAGCTTCTCAAAAGTGAGGGGCAGCCGTGGTAAGACATGGCAGCAAGCTGGTTCTCATTTGTGACTTTCCACTTAAATATAACTGCAGGTCATTTGATCAAGCTGCATTGCCCTTCTTAATTAGTAAAAGAGAAATATCATGGACTTTATACACATATTGTGAAGGCCAGGGGAAATGCTGAATCTTCTTTCTTTCTGTCTGTCTTTCTTTCTTTATTACTTTCTTTGTTGTTGTTGTTTTATTTTTGTTTGATTTTTGGGATGGGGTTTCTCTGTGCAACAGCCCTAGCTGTCCTGGAATTAGCTCTGCAGACCAGGCTGGCCTCAAACTCACAGGGATCCACCTGCCTCTACCTCCTGAGTGCTGGGATTAAAGGCGTGTGCCACCACTGCCTGGCCTGAAATGTCAAATCTTAATGGACCTAAACACACTTGCCATACAACAGGTTCTTAGGAAATGTGTGACCCTATCTTTCCAGGACCACTACAGGTATACTACCAACTATTTCATGTGCTATGATAAGTTACAGTTATTATTAGGACTGTGCCCAGCTTTCTTATTTGATGCCAGACGACTGGAGTGACCTCATTCTTGCCTGGTCAACTGTGAGAGGTCAGGTAATCCTTGCACATCAGTGAATGAATGACCATTTCCCTGACTCTAACTGTCTCAGAAAGCCAATGCCACTTTAGAAGCGGCTCAGCAACTGGTCTCTGCCCAACTGATTAAAAAAAAAAAAAAAAAAAAAAACTCCACTGAGACAGAGAAGAGCTCTGGAGGGTGAATAAGCAGCCCCACTGACTACATGGAGGGATAAGTTGTGCAAATGTCTATGCAAAAATACAAGACTTTCTGTGTAGCTATTCCGGCAACTCAGCAGGCTCAGAGCACTGCTTGCGGGGTACTCAGTGGTTCAACTAAATCAGTCACTCCTAGGAAATAATAAGCAAACAATATCAGTGGAATTAAATATGTGAAACAAGTGGACAATGAGTCTAATTCTCTATTTATTAATTTTGCTCATCCACAATTTCAAACATGTATGCAACGCATTCTGGTTACCCTCTGCCCACCATGCTCTCTTACGCCCTCCTACTCCTCCCAACGTTACCTCTTCCCTACCTGTCCCATTCCCAGACTCATGACATTTGGTTTTGCTTATTATCTAGTTTAACAAGGGCCATCTGTGTCATCGCTGGATTGGAACTATCACTTGGAGCCTGATGACCTCTCCAGTAGGTACACAACTGAGGGCAATGGTTTTCCCTCTCCCCGAATCTATCTGTAGCAAACAGTTCATCAGCGAGGGGCAGGGCACCCTGAGTCCCAACCCCCATCGACGCTTGGCGACTGATGGCCCCCATCTCTGTGCAGACAATCAGACCTGTTGAGAGTCCATAATCACCATTGTATATAGCCCCAAAGGAAACATTTGATGGTCCTTATTCCTATCTTCTGACTCTTACATTCTTTTCATTGGTCTTTCTCGATGTTCCTTGTGATCAAAAAAGGATGCTATAAACACTTTGTTAGTGGCTAGGCACGCCATTGGTACTTATTCTCAGCACCCTGTTTTGCCATGGGTCTCTGCATCCACTGTAGTCATGTGTGTCTAATCATTAGTCAGCTGAAACGGCAAGGGCCCCAGAGCCAGAGAAGAGCAAGTGTTCTTAACCACTGAACAGTCTCCCTAGCCCTGTGCACCACGAGACTTTTAAGTTGGACTATTTTTCTAAATTATGACATTAACTTGAGATCTTGGGGACAAGAAAGGAAAGATGAGGTTTTAAGCATGATATGTTTATCAAATAGAAAGGAAATGGGTGGTGCTGGCTTTCCTTGTCAACTTGATACAACCTAGTATCATCTGGCAAGAGGAAACTGCAGCTGAAAAGTTGCACTGATCAGATTTAACTGAGGCCATGAGAAACTGTCCCGATTGATGACTGATGTAGCAAGGCCCATCCAACCACACTGTGGGTATCAGTTTCCTTGTGTAGGTGGTGCTGAGCTGTAAGAAAGCTGTCTAAGAAAGACAGACAGGGCAAGCAATCCTGCAGCACTCCTCTACGGTCTTTGCCTCGGTTCCTGACCTCGGGCTCCTGCCTTGACTTCCTGATCTGACTTTCCTTAACCAAAGACTGCTGCCTGGAAGTGGAAGCTGAACTGAATAATTGGTCTTGGTCACAGTGTTTGAGCAACAGAGAGTAAACCAGAATGTATGTTTATATGACCTTACTGTTTACCACTTTTTTTTTTTAAAGAACAATTCATCCCACACAGAAATTCAGGACTAACGGCACTCATCCTTAAATATGTATGTATTTTTCACTTTCATATCTTCTCATGTCAATTCTCTCCCTGGTTCTCCATTTATCGCCTTTGGCTCAATACAAATGACTTCTCCCTGCCAAGAATTGCCTAGCCAAGCAGAGAACCTATGGATCTTCTTTCTTCCCTCTTCAACAAGTCCAACAATTCAACACACTCCTATTAAGCACCTACTATGGATAAAGAACCAGGCTGGATATAAAAAGAGTCACTGCATTGCTCTTGTTTTAAGGAGCTGACAGTGTTCTGAGGCAGCAAATTCGAAAGCTAGCTAGAATACCTGTGTGCTCAGCCTGGCTGGAATACCCCCCATCTTGTTCTCACACATACATGTAAGCACATACAGACACACCCACTCGAGCAAATTCTGGGTGACTCACATCTTAATTCATATGTAATGCCTTCAGAAAGGCTTTCTTTGAACTTAGACTAGATTAGCTGGAATTACATCTTAAATAACAAGTAAATCATCAAGATATTAAACAATTCTGGAAGGGCAGGGGAGAAACAAACACAAAGGGGCAGAGGAATGGAATTATATGAGTCACAGGGTACTTGTGTTTAGGAAGAGGGTTTTTTTTTTTTTTTTTTTTTTTTTGTTTTTTAAGACGGGGTTTTCGTGTAGCTTTGGAGTCTGTCCTGGAACTAGCTCTTGTAGGCCAGGCTGGCCTCAAACTCACAGACATCCACCTGCCTCTGCCTCCCGAGTGCTGGGATTAAAGGCATGTGCCACCACCACCTGGTTTAGGAAGAGTTCTTTAACAGTCTAACCTAAGTATATTTGTGGGCCAGAAGGAGATAGGCCATGGGAGATATGAGTGACCAGAAAATTGTCTGGTTTGGTTTTCTGAATTGTCTCTAGGACTGCGAGGAACCACTGAGGGAGTGACAGCAGGTAACACTGCCATCTCAAAAAGGAGACAGAGAAAGACCAGAGAGAAAGAGGGTTGACTACTGCAAGCTGGGCAGCACCCGTTCATTTAGTGAACACATCCTGCACACCACAGGCTCTGAGGATTAGGCTCTGTGCTGACTTCTGACTTCTGAGTGGCCAGCATTCCAGCCCCTGGGTGTATGGGTGATGTGGTAAGATGGTATAATCACATTCACAACCACATGAAGAAAGTACCAACTTACCAGTTTTCCCGTCACACTCTGACCACCTTCATTCAGCCAGAAGCCAGGGACCATGGCTGAGAAATACGGTCCCCACACACCCGGTACAAAAATCGGATCTTTGCTGATCTGAAACAGAAAGGACAGTATGTGTGAAAACAATGACCCTCCAGGAGAGAGGGAGTCTTTTCCTCCTACCACTGAGTTCCTACAGCAAAGGGAATTCAGCTTCTTCTTCTGTGTTTTTTATAATGGGGTAGTCACTGTCTCCCAAGGAAGGGCATGACTCTATCTGTGAATCCCTTGCTGACCAATTTATCTAGAAGTCAAAGCAGCAAAAGTGACCATTTTGGACAGCCACTGACCAAGTACTTCAATGCTAGCTAGCTTCCTCTCTACAGCAAGAATAATGGTCTCCATTCTCCACCTTCCAGAATCTACACAAGAGAAAGAGGATAGCTTAGATCAGGTCTATAAAGTTAGCTACCCATGGCTCAGAATCCAAAATCTAAGGCTTCCTGATTCCCCTAAATGCTCTAAGCAAAACAAAGCCCCTCGTCTGCCTGGTTTAGTGAAATTAAACGGCTAACTCTGCATCCTTGTCGACATGATTCAGTGAGATTAAACCAGTTAGCTATAAGCAACCATTTAAATGGTTACATTTTGGTTTTTAAGAAGTTAATGCATAGTCAATGAGGAAAATGCCAATGTTTTTGATCCCTTTGCTTTACAAACTGCAGTGACTCAAGACCAGCTTTTCATCACTTAGGTTAGGATGGAATCTTGCTGGTCTGATTACAACATGAGCTATTTTATGACAATAAACTTTTCCCTTTATTTGTTACATTCTGTTTTTGATATGTGGTAAGGGAGAGCGATAGATTCTTAAAGACTTAGCTCGAGAAGACTAACGGGAGTTGGCTAAATGATAGAAGACAGGCTACCACAAACAAAGCCCCATGGGTGAGGTACTCTGAAGTTCAAGATTCTACAGTGCTATTGTAGCAGACTATTGTGGTCCTTTAGGGAAAGGAAGGTAGATAAAGGAAGAGCCAGAATAGGAGAAGCTGGGCCACTTACTCATGTAGCTATAAGGGTACGGGTCACTCCTCTACCCAGCAGAAATGACTTCCTAAGGCAGAGGTATGGCTAGGGCAAATGTTCCTGAGAGGGAGGAAAAGGCAGCTCGGCACTCACTGTCTACTCTACCAGGTCTTAAGGAACAGGATCTATTCATTCATTTATTCAGCATGTATTCATCCAGCTTGGAACCACGCTAAGCTCTTGAGATAGAGAAGAAAACCGAGCAGCTGTAATTTCTGGCCTCATCAGCGTGGAGATGGATAGACCTGTAATCACCCCAATGCCAACCACCCTGGCACCTTTTCCACTGGGCTGCTCATTCTTCACATCAGTAGGCCGTTAGACCTCAACATGTGAAGGAAGCAAGGAACATCCAAGAGAAGAATGGCAAAGAAACTATATAACACTATTAACTTTAAATTCTGTCAAGTAAGGGGGCCATTATGAAAAAGAGAGAGGGGGGCATTTAATACCTAAAATAGGAGCAATAATTTTAGTGTGGAAGGGACAAGTCTCTACAAGAAAAGAGTTCAATTTCCATGGTTATAATCATTTGCACTAGTTCTCCAGATGTTTCCTGCATTCTGTGGAGACCCAGATGTGGGGCAGGTACTGGAGAAAAATGGTAAAAAGGGGCAGAGTCCATGCTCTTACCAATCACGCTCAAGCAGATGGCCAGAGTGGCTGCTCACCGCTCCCCGGGGTAAGGAGAGGACTCAACACCTTCAGAGCTAAAACCTCCAATCATTACAATGCCCCACTGGGATACCTGCTTACCTTACAACAAGAGGTGCTCACACTCTCACACAAGGGTGTGAATGCAGGCTGGGGAGGGAGTGGAGGAAGCAGAAAGGAATCTCAAGAGCACCAAAAGTGAGGAATCTAATCTAGCCTAGGAGGCTACATGTGAATCAAGAGGAGAGCCACAAGGCAGGGGCTCAGGACGGTGTGTCTCTGTGTGTGTATGTGTGTATCTGTGGAAGAGATGGGAAGTACTCCAGCCACGGTGGGCACACACTAGCTCACCCTCAGTTGTGTCACCCCGTCTTTACCCAGTGAAGGTTCTTATTTCATACTAACCTTAGGAATAAAAGCTCTGAAGAGGTCCAGTAGGCAGGGCCTTATTTATATTTATTTACTGAGGTCCAAGGTTTAGACTGGTGAGTGACTAAATCATCTCTTGTTTTGCAACTCTTTTCTTTTATTTTGGGAGGAGGGTTTTCGAGACAGGATTTCCTCTGTGTAGTTCTGAAGTCTGTCCTGGAACTTGCTCTTTAGACCAGGCTGGTCACAAACTCACAGATATCTGTCTGCCTCTGCCTTCCAAGTGCTGGGATTAAAGGCGTGTACCACCACCACCCAACTTTTTGAGAACTCAACTACATCTGATACACTAGAGCAGAGAAGTTTATATATAGATACAAAACCTCACACATAGACATGGACAAGCAGACTTGTCCATAGTCAAACAGCTGGTAAATGCCTGAGGTGGAGACCTCAAATCCTTGGATATACTTTTTATTTTCCCACAGATGGCTTAGGAAGGATATGCATGGCCTTATTGAGGACTTCTATTGCTGGGATAAAATAACTCGTCAAATCAACTTGGAGAGGGGAGGGTTTATTTCAGCTCACGTGTTCCCATCAAAGTATATTATAAAGGGAAGTCAGGAGAAGAACCTGGAGGCAGGTACTGGAGCAGAGGCCATTGAGAATCACTGCTTATGGTCTTGCTCACTCATGGCTTGCGCGTACTGCTTTCTTAAGTCATGCAGGACCACTGCCTAAGGATGGCAGCGCCCATGGTGAGCTTGGTCCTCCCAAATCAACCAGCAACCCAGGAAACGCCCTACAGATTAGCCTACAGGCCAATCCTATGGAGTCATTCCATTTCCTTGATTGGTTTCCCAGATGACCCTAACTTGTGTCAAGCGGACATAAAAACTAGCCAGCGCAGGCATCATTCCCTGCCTCCCACCATAGCCCCATCATTTAAAGATGCTATTATGCTCTTGTAGCAGGACTTCACTGAGAGACCATGGCTCTGCTACTCACAAAGGTCCAAGGGAGGCTTCATTTGGTTGAGTCTTGGGAGATGGTGTAGGCTAACTCTGTTTGTGATCCCTCCTTGGGCATAACACATGCTTCTCATCAGACATTTTCAGTGAAGGAAGAAAACAAAGTGTACTTCCCATCCTTTCCAACCCTGAGTTCTCAGGGGAAAGAGCTAGTTTGTTTTGAGGGAGAAGGAGAATGCGCATTTGTGTATTTATGTGTCCTTTAATCCTTCACAGTAAACATAAATATTTGAAAATATTTTTGCCAAAGCTCCTTCCATGCTGATTGCTGTCTTGGCTTAAGGGTTGCTCTGTGAGGGGGGAGATCATTGCACATACTAATGACAGGTGTCCACAGAGGATGTTAACTTCCCAGGCTTAATGGTGCCACTGGCAGCAACACAGAAACTCAGACTGGACACTTGGTAAAGGCCTTGCCCTGGTAGAAATGACTCAGTTCTTATAACTTTGAGGAAGAGGCAGCTATTACCTCTATGGTGTCCATGTGTGAACTAGGGCAGAGAGTGTTAACTAACATGTGTCCAACACTACAAAAGAGTCACCTCAAACCCTCTAAAGCAGTGGTCCTCAACCTCCCTAATGCTGCATCCCTTTAACATGGTTCCTCAAGGTGTGATGAATCCTAACCATTAAATAATTTTCACTGATACTTCGTAACTGTAATTTTGCTACTGTTATGAAACGCGATGTAAACATTTTTGGAGATAGAGGTTTGCCAAAGGGAGTGTGACTCACAGGTTGAGAACTGCTGCTCAAGAGGTTTTATTCTTGATTCTGATAAATTACTATCTTGTTCCACCAATACCATCTTTTCTTTTGACCCTTCCTATACATTTGAAGTGTAGAAAGTAAGGGCTATCCAAGCCCACGGAATCACTCAAAGTATACAATACCCCCCTCGTCTTGAAGACAAATAAGTTAGGATATGGTATATAGAAGTATGTGTGTGAAATACACCAATACACATATATGTATACATATATGTATATATCACACATGCATACACACACACAGACACAGACACACACACACAGACACACACACACACACCTGTTTAGATCAAGCTGGCCTGAAACTTAAGGTAGCCCACTCTTGTGGCCTCTGAGTGGACTACTTTAAATGTCTGGAGCCTCCTGTTTTAGCCTCCCAAATACTGGAATTGCAGCAAGAACTACATGCTTGGCTTGAGTTATATAATCTTTATTTCCAAAACATTGCTCAGAAATTTTCCCTGACAGAGTTGTAAATAGAAGAGAGAGCATAGGTCAGAACAGACTCGTCTCAGTTGTGTTTCTCATTGTGACATATTCTAGACAAATGATCCTCCTCAAATTAGACTCTCCCACCCTTAATCCCTGATTTCAAATGGAAGAACTAGTAGTAATCTCTGCAAGAATGGAGGACACTTACTTGTACACAGACACAGCTTATTGTGGAACAAAAGGAGGCGAGCTGAAAACCCACCATCAAAGTGTTCTTCTTTTAGTCAGTAGTATTAATAATGATACTAAAAATGAGATTAAATCCAAACAGTGTCTTTTCGAAGGTTGGACCTGAAAGGCTGGTTATTAAGGCACATGTACAAAAAAAAAAAAAAGATTCAAAATGAACTCGGAGAGCTAGAGCACTATAGTAAGAGTCAATAAGCTATTAGTTAATATTTATTTAACGATACAGTTAGTTTTGGAGGTTATTTTATTATTTTATTTATTTATTCATTGTAGAAGGCTGGCAATATTCTCTTGCACAACCTAAGTGCAGGCACAAGGGCATTAATTTGGGTATCAGTGTTAGCACTGAACTGAGACAGTTGGTAGATGCTTTAATCATGTGTGGTCTATATTAAATTACAAAATGACAACATTGCATACTATGTTGTCACACAAAATTTATGACAGTCTGAGTGAGGCATAATTCTATTACAACACCTAAGGTCATAAATGAAATCTAAGCAAAGCAGGTCAAATG